TTCTTTCTTTCTTTCTTTCTTTCTTTCTTTCTTTCTTTCTTTCTTTCTTTCTTTCTTTCTTTCTTTCTTTCATTCCTGTTTCTGTTTCTGTTTCTGTTTCTGTTTCTGTTTCTGTTTGTTTTCTTTCTTACTTGTTCACTATTCTTTCTTATTTTCTTTGTTTCTTTTCTAATACTTATATTGTTTTTATCGTGTTAACATTTTCTTCAATAAAATTATATTTAAAAAAAAGTTTGCCTTTAACTCACTGCTTGATAGGTTCCTTGTTGCTTTTTTCCAAAGGAAAACTATTTTTGTTTAATATCTTCATAGGTCCGCCTTCACCACCACGATGGCTCGAGGTCATTAATATCACTAAAAACACCGCAGACCTTAAATGGACAGTGCCAGAAAAAGACGGGGGTTCTCCTATTACAAACTACATTGTTGAAAAGAGGGATGTGCGGCGGAAAGGCTGGCAGACTGTGGACACCACAGTTAAGGACATCAAATATACTGTGACACCTCTGACCGAAGGCTCTCTCTATGTATTCCGTGTGGCTGCTGAAAATGCAGTGGGACAGAGTGATTACTGTGAAGTTGAGGACTCAGTTCTAGCTAAAGACACTTTCAGTAAGTTTTCAGGGTTTATATTCAAAATTCAGTCGAACAAGCTAGCTCCTATTTCTAAAATACTGGTTTTCCTAATGTGAATTTTATTTATTTTAGCTACTCCTGGAGCACCATATGCACTTACACCAGTTGAGGTGACAAAGAGACATGTTGACTTAAAATGGGAACCACCTAAGAATGATGGTGGCAGACCAATTCAACGGTAATATTATAAATAATGATATACAGTAGAAACATTTGTGTAACAATCATATTTGCTGTATGTAAAGTATTAATGTTAATATTAGAAAATCCATTTAAAGATACATCAATTATTATTAATTATTACAAATTTTACATTCAGAGCTCCCATTTTCCAGAAACCAATAGGAAATTTAGGTGAAGAATGGAAAACAGATGAAGTATGCTAAGTAATTAATAGAGACATCAGTTTTCCAAGCAATAAAGATTTGCTCTGGATTGAAAGAAGTGGGATATAATAATAATTATTCTATAATAATAATGCATTCTAATGTATGATCAGGTTGGTCATCTGTATTCAAGGGTAAGAGCATTAAATTGAATTCAAAAGTTATATAAGCGGAGTCATTTGTAGATAGCATGATACTGGATCACAATCAAGAATTGAATCACAAACAGGATACTTAGAAAATCAACCTGGTAAGAATGCCATTAATTTGCTGGATAAGGTGATAGAATCATTGGCAGAACAATTCTGATGATAACTTTCAGTGCTTTAGTGCTGCAGTACTCCATCAAGTCCAAGGTCCTGTTGTTGGTTGAAGCTTAGAAAGGCAGCAATGAAGAGGAAGAACAGTGTGTAACTGTTCCCTTCCTAACAACTTCCTGGATTGTTTTTTCATATGCCACTTATTTCAAGCAGTGAAAAGGAAATCAAATAGACCATCCAAATAACTGGTTTGAATTTCCCCCCAAGACAAAGGGATGGGGAGTTTAGATTCCTTCAACTCTCAGCCCCTCCTGTGCCATCTTTGGCCCAGCCCCTTTGGGGACTTTCTGAGGTCAACATTGCAGTTCACTGATTACACCAAGCCATTTCTGGATATGCAATTTTCTGCTCACCCAAACAAGAATGATTGAATTGAGCAGACAGAGAATTCTGAATGCAAATTATATACCGGGAAAGAACACAGCGGGAAACTGAGCTCATCTTTTAAATGGTTCTGGGGTTCCTTATTTGCATGGAATACTGTATGTACTACATCAATAATGTGACAAATTATCAATGTAAATAATATCAATTTTGTTTTTAATTCAATCAATTCAATCAATTTAATTCAAATTGATTTCATTGCATAATTCTATAATATTCCTCTTAATACAGATACGTTATCGAAAAGAAAGAGAAGCTCGGCACACGCTGGGTGAAAGCTGGCAAGACAGCTGGACCTGACTGTAATTTCAGAGTCACTGATGTCATTGAAGGCACAGAGGTGCAATTCCAAGTTCGTGCTGAAAATGAGGCTGGCTGTGGTCATCCTAGTGAACCAACCGACATCCTGGCTATTGAAGATCCAATGAGTAAATTATAATAAAAATCATAATGTAGAAAATATTATGTTAGGTCAAACAGTCTTATGGAAAATAATACATTTCTCTCCATTCGGGCAGGTCCTCCTTCACCACCTCTGGATTTGCATGTAACAGATGCAAGCAGAAAACACATTTCCATTGCCTGGAAACCACCAGAGAAAAATGGTGGAAGTCCTATCATTGGGTACAATATTGAACTCTGTGAAGCAGGAACTGAAAAGTGGATGCGAATAAATTCTCGGCCAGTCAAAGACTTGAAATACAAAGCAGAAGAAGGCATTGTACCTGACAAGGAATATGTTCTCAGAGTCCGAGCTGTCAATGCAATAGGAGCTAGTGAACCTTCAGATATATCAGAAACGGTTGTAGCCAAAGATCCAGATTGTAAGTATATTTCTTTCCAAAGCAATCATAAAACATACAGTCACATTAAAATTGCTCTGTAACAGTGATTAAGATTATTGTTCTCTATTTTTATATAGGTAATCCGACTATTGATCTAAAAACTACAGATATTGTTGTGGTTGAAGGTCAAAAGTTAAGCATTCCAGTTCCCTTCAGAGCTGTTCCTTCTCCAACCATTGCATGGCATAAAAATGGGAAGGAAGTTAGAGCAGGTGACAGAACCACAATGAAAAGCCACTACGCTTCTGCCTTGCTGGAAGTCACAGATGTTGTCCATGCAGATGCTGGTGTTTACACCATTAACTTGGAGAATAGATTGGGTTCAACTACTGGCACAATTAATGTCAAAGTAATAGGTAATTTTTTTTTCTTCCATTAGCAGACATTTACATTCAATTCATAGTGCTGAACAAGTGGCAAGGAGCACTGTTTTAAGCTACTTAATATCTATAGTACTTATTATAAGCTAATTTTAACATAATCTAGATATCCTAGATTTGATGGAGATAAAATAAACAGCCTAATCATCTTTCAATCTAAGTTACTGTAAATATTGGGCATATCTTTTATCACAAGTATGGGTGTAACAAATTGATATTTACTTAATGCCACGTGTGCTTTTTTCAATTAGGTCTGCCTGGACAATGCAAAGATATTAAGGCAAGTGAAGTAACTAAAAGCTCATGCAAAGTTACCTGGGAACCTCCAGAATTTGATGGCAATACTCCCATATTACACTATGTGTTGGAAAGAAGAGAAGCTGGGAGGAGAACATACATACCAGTGATGTCTGGTGAAAACAAATTGGCATGGCATGTAAAGGATCTTATTCCAAATGCTGAATACTATTTCCGTGTTAAAGCTGTCAATAAAATTGGAGGAGGTGAATACCTTGAAATGAGAAATCCAGTGATTGCTGAAGATCCAAAGCGTAAGTTTATATGTTAATGAATAAACGCTTAGAATGAAAATGTAAATTTCTCCATACTTTCTGTTTATTTTATTTTAAATTTTCCATACACAGAACGACCAGATCCACCTCTTGATCTTGAGACTCACAACCCAACATCAAAGTCAGTAACGCTCACATGGAAACCACCATTGTATGATGGAGGAACGAAAATTATGGGTTATATTTTGGAAAAACTAGTTAAAGGAGGAGATAAGTGGGAAAGATGCAATGACTATTTAGTACCTCTTTTGACTTACACTGTAAAAGACCTTGAAGAAGGCAAAGAATATCAGTTCCGAGCCCGTGCTGAGAATGCTGCAGGAGTCAGTGAACCATCTAATATTACTCCTCTAGTGAAAGCAGTGGATCCTATTGGTAATTTTTATAAATTTTTTCCTCCCTATTCATTGTCAATATGTAAAAATCATGTTTTATGCTATAATCATCACACAAATGTTGCATTTTTTAAAATTGTTACAGAGGCTCCAAAGGTCTCCCTTAGTGCTAATTTGCAGGCTGGCCTTGAAGTGAAGCAAGGTGCTGATATTCCACTAGACGCACGGATTTCAGGTTCACCTTACCCAGCAATTGCTTGGTTATGGAATGATGAAGTTATTAGACCAGAAGAAATTAAGAAGAGAGTCATCAAGATTTCTAGGAAGAAGAAAGGTGAAGCTGAAGATGATGAGCCTTTCCACTTATCCTTGCCTGAGCGACTAAGCATCGACAATAGTAAAAAAGGAGAGTCTTTTCTGGTTGTACGAGACTCACTCAGAGCAGATCACGGCACATTCACTATACGAGTTGAAAATGACCATGGAGTAGCAAAAGCTTCCTGTGAAGTCAATGTTTTAGGTATGTCCTTGTACATAACTTATTTAATTTGTTATACAAAAGATATGGTGTGATACATGCAAGAGGTACTCATTATTTTTGTTTTAAAACTAGATGTACCTGGACCTCCAGTCAACTTTGTTTTTGAAGATGTTAGAAAAAATTCCATAACTTGCAAGTGGGATCCTCCTCTTGATGACGGTGGTAGTGAAATACTGAATTATATCTTGGAAAAGAAAGACAGTGCAAAAACTGAAGCTGGCTGGGTTACTGTCACTTCCACACTTAGGCACTGCAAATATAACGTGCTTAAACTGATTGAAGGAAAAGAATACGTCTTCCGTGTGAAAGCCGAGAACAGAGTAGGGGCTGGACCACCATGTATTTCAAAACCTGTTGTAGCTAAAGATCCATTTAGTAAGTCTTATCCTTTATAAGAAATTGTGTACCATTTCCCTCAAAGACAATTCATAAACAATAATATTTGTAGCCATATTGTATATTAATTTTAAAACTTGTTTCAGAGGTGGGCTTCGTTTTCTGTTTTTTGTATTGCCCTGGGAGCCTCATTTTGTTTTTATGCCTGCCTGGGGTCTACAAAAGAAACATGTAGTGAAATTATGATCCCTTC